TTCAGGGCCTTACCTCTGGGATGTATAGGTTGGTTAAGAGGAACAATATAAAAAAGGAACATATATGTGTGTGTGTGTATGTGTGTGTGTATTTTTACATGGTAAGTGGAATTTTTCTCTTAAATTATACAGCTACCCCTTGTCTTCTTTTAATGGGGCAGGGGGGTAGTTATGAAGACTTCCTTGCTCCTGTCTTCCTACAAGCTCAGCTCTTCTTCTGGTTACTCTCTCCATTAAAGACCATTCCTTCCTTTGTTTTAAATTCTTCTATTTGTACTATCTGGTGCCTTTGTATATCTGGTTGGTTTTGGTTTTGGTTTTCCTTACCTTTGTCCTTTAATCACTCCTAAAGGAACTCCTCTAGTAAAGTTCTAACTCCTTTACTCAGGATTACCCAGTGAATCTAACTGCAGAAGAACAAGCCACTTTTAGTAAGGTATTCTACTAACTTATTTAATAAAGCCTAATGAGGCCCTCATTCTAGTCTTCCCTATCCCTACACCACCAGTTAAAGAAAGCAGTGGCATTTCCTCCCAAGACAAGAATTCCTTATATCTTCTCTGGCCCTTTCCTGGAGAATCACGCCATGAGATGCATGGAAGGCAAGGCCCAATGCCAGCCCTCTTCACTGTGGATCCCCAAAGAGACTCCATGCTGAGCATTCAAGCTCTTTTCTGACTCAAAGAAGCTGCTGTAGTTGGAATCACCAGGTTGCTAGATGCCAGCCCACCTAGTAAAGAAAGAAAATGAGATAATCAGGCTGCAGAGAGCAAAACTCACAGATATTCCAGCAGACTTCATTTTTTTTTTTTTTTTTTTTTTTTTTCTCTGGTACCGGGAACCGACCTCACGACCTTGCGCTTGCCAGGCAGGCGCTTTGCCGCTGAGCTAAATCCCCAGCCCCCAGACTTCATTTTTAAAAGAGCATTTGTCTGCCTCTACTGGATGGGGCAAGGATTTCTTGGGAAAGAGCATTAGGGAAATTTCTGGGTTGCTGGCAATGTTCTATGTCTTAGATGGAGTCAGTAGATGCACTTGTCAAAACTCCAAAGCATAGTTAATATGTACATTTCATTACATATGTTTTACCTTGTTAAGAAAAAACTTTAAAACTACTGAATCTTAGCTTTAAAAAAAAAAGCAGACATCTATGATTAGTTTTACCTAACTTTTAAACAGCTCTAATTCTAAAAGTTTCTAATCCATCTCACTTGATCTTGCTTTACACAGACACACACAAAAATGACTTCATTCATTCTCTCTCCCTCTCTCCTCCACCCACTGTGTGTGTGTGTGTGTGTGTGTGTGTGTGTGTTACTGAGAACTGGATTGAACCAGGGCCTTCTCAATGAAGGCCTGAATCCACAGGCCTTTATTTTTCTTTTAATTTTTGAAGCAGACTAGCTGGCCTCAAACATGTGATCCTCCTGCTCTATTCTCTCAGACTACATTCTAATTGTATGACAGTTGGGTTAGGCATGTACACAATGAGATAATCAGGCTGCGGAGAGCAAAACTCACAGATATTCCAGCAGACTTCATTTTTAAAAGAACATTTGTCTGCCTCTACTGGATGGGGCAAGGATTTCTTGGGAAAGAGCATTAGGGAAATTTCTGTGAAATTAGGGAATTTCACAGTTGGGTTATCTCATGTACATTGTATGTCAAATGGGTTAGGCATGTACACACAGATCAAACATGTGCAAACAGAGCTTGTCTAATGTGGGAGACCAGCCTTGAACAGGGCCAGTGTGCACCCCAATACAGGCTCATAGGTGCACAGGGAAAGAAAGAAAAGAACAAGGAGCCAATAGGAGCAGCCTGAACCCACTTGGGTAGAGGAAGGAGCACAAGAAGAACACCAGGAAAATATTCCAGAAAGAAGGTGTCTTAATCTTAATCCTAAAGGATGAGAAGAGGCTCTGCTGTCTAAATGTAGGAGGATATTGAAGAAAATACATACAGGAAAACACATGAAGCAGCAAAGGCAAGAAAATCTAAAATCTATGCAAGACTCTGAAGAAAATGTAAGATGACTGAGGCAGGGTCTGGATAAGGAGCAAAGCAAGGTTGAAACTGAACAGCTTAGAGGATCCAGTTCAGAAAAGGTGATTGTGCTCTGCCACAGTTTGTGTACCTGAGTCATTAAAGTAGGTAGACAGAAGTTGGAGTTATCAATTGTGAGACTTTATCTTTAGTAAGATAAGAAATAGCAAAGATTCCCATACTGAGGTCCTGGGAATGATGAAAACTCAGCATGTGAAGGGGGAGACGTGGTCACTTCCCACGATTTTGTAATACAAGAGGTCAGAAAGAAAGGAAAATATAATCTCTGATCTCTGTCTGGATTAGTAGGAGAAGTTGGTGCTGCTACTAAAAACCTAAACCAGTGCAGGAGAATGAGCAGGTGATAGGGAAAGAAGTCCAGGAAGGAGACGAGACTGGTTTTCAATTTGCATGGTTGTTTGTTTTTCTTGTATCCTGTTATTGCCCATACCTTGGCAGATATTAATGTTCTGGTGAGCAGTCTGGGCTAGAATGAAGGTGTGGGAGTGTGGTAAGTGTGACTCCAAAAATGAGTCACACAGGACAGTGTGCAAAAAGAGAAAAGGCAAGGCCTAAGAATAGTACTGGAGACTATTGAAAAGGCAGGAAATGTTAAAGGGGGTGAAAAGGGAGAAAGACAAAATCCTGGCATTTCAAAGTCTGAATGGTCAACAGTGTCACAAACCTACAGAGGTCAAATAAGATAAAGATGGAAGACGGCGATTGTACTTAGGACCTCAGCAAGGGTTTGTCTCTGAGGGATGCTGGTAGAAACATTACAGGCTAAAAAGTACTTAAAATAAAACAAGGGTTCTAAGCCAAAAAAAAAAAAAAAAGTGTACTTTCCAAATGCTTAGTTGTAAAAGTATTAGAAAGAAAGGGGTTGTGTAAAGAAGCATTTACTTGCTTCTACCTAAAATATCTGCATGTTGAAGGAACAGTGCCAAGTGAGGCTCACAATTAGCCATGCAGAAGACAGTGGGGCTGCTAAATGGACCAAGATGCCATGCAGGTCGAGAGAGAGCAAAGAGAGAGAGCACAGAAAGCTTTTCCCATTTGACTTTCCCAAGTACCCTGGGTTACTGTGCACCCTGCGGAGATGGACTCGGAGACAGTCCATGATTTGCTCCAAATTACTCAGCTATTAAATGCAGCAGTTGCCCAACCTCTTGGACCAAGAACATGGGCTTCTGCTATGATGTCAGTCTCCTGCTCCTGCTGATACATCTCAGTTATCTCCTCATCTGTCTGGGGTTCTGGCCCACTCTGCAGAGCCCACTGTGTGCCCCTCCAGGCAAGACCACAACCTACTCATGTTTGTCTATCTGGACCCTACACAGTGACTGGCGTGGGGAAAGCTCCTTGAAAAATAATACCCAGTACATTGGAACCACAGCCCAAGAGACAGGGAAGAACCTACTTCCAGGACCACTGCACGGAAAGATGTCTCCAGGAATGTTATGGTTGATACACTGTGTCACCTTGAGGAGTCTAAACGCTTAACTAAGTGACTCAGCAGTTCTACATCCTGGAGTAAAAAAGACGTGCCCTTTCCGCACTAGGATGTTGTTCACTGTGTCAATTTAAAAAGTTTAAAAGGTTAACTATGTGACTCAGCAGAGAGCCAGGGTCCTTACTTTATATTCATCCTGAGCCTGTGCAAGAGGAAGGCATGGAAATGATGTGGGTGTAGCCGGTCCCCCCACCTCAGGGCGGGTAGCCTGCATACAATAAAAGGAAAATAATAGAACACTGATCGCTTGTTCTTCAGAAGAGCTCCAGTCTTAGCCTTCAGCTTGGTCACCTCCCGGCTTCTGGTGCAGACTGTTTGGCTTCCGCCTGGGACTCTTCAGCGTTTTAGTGTGGGCTCTTCAGCCTTCATCATAGATTCTTCAGCATTCCCTCACAGGCCCATCAGCCTCCTGATACAGACCTGCATGGAACACTGCACTGAGCTCCAGGCCTTAGACTGGGCTCTTCAGTCTCCAGCATGCAGACACCCTCTGCACGCTTCCTCATCCAACTCTGTGGCTGACCATCGTAAGCCAAACTTGTAATTTCTTATACATTTGTGTGTCTTGTGTTATATCCGTTTCTCTAGTAAACCCTGACTGACACAGGGAAGTAAACAGTTTTGTCAGACCAGAAGCAAAGACTTCATGTTGTCTTCGGATGCCAAGCACAGAGGAGATGAACAATCCTGACATATATACCCTTTATGTTAAATTCATAAAAAAGAACTGCAATTTCTCATTGTCAAATGAAAACAATAGAAGTGGAGCAGGCGAATTGCTTCTCCCAAGGGTATACACCCAATAAACACAAAATCAGGTCGTAAACCTGTATCTCTAGGACTGTTTCTGCCATCCTAAGGCAACATAAGTATACCCAAAGGGATTCTGAGGCAGAGAAAAGCGCCTTTGGAGTTTCCACTAATGGAGACAAGCTACACGACTGGCCATTTTTCCCCATCTGAAGGGCAGACTGGAAAGTGACCTCATGCTTTTCCTACCTTACCAGAATTTTCTGGAGTTGAGGATGACTAGCTAAGACTGTCTTTTCTTAGTCAGAGCCTACAGTGGCTGGGAAGCACGGGTTATAATGTGGAGACCACGGCATCTCTGGACCTTGAGGAGGAGTCCCCACATGCTCTGACAGCAGCCTCCTGAGATGGGTTTCACTGTGCCAGAGCCCCAGCCACACAACTGTCCTGATGAGGCTCACAGTGACCTCCTTGTTCAGCATCCTGCTGTCACATGGAGAAATGTCTGACTACAGCGCTTTTGCCAGAGCATTACCCAGAAACCCTGCACAAGGACCCCAGGGCCACAGATGGCATCAGAAATGGAAGCCCAGGTTATAGGTGGGATGGGAATGGAAGAGGCAGACAGGGGATGCTGGTCAGGACAGTGCAGGCTCCAGGACTGCTGCCCAGGACCTACCTGCAGGGAAGACAGACACCAGCCAGCTCCAACCAGCCCTTGTTGACTTAGTGGGTGGCTCTAAGGTGGGAGAAGAGGAGGAGAGGAGAACACACCACCAGAACACTGGTTCCCATTGGTCCCTGTCATGAATGAAAGAGGCTCAACAAGACAGTACCAACAACTTCAGTCTGAGGATCTCAGGATTCTGTAGCATCCCTGCTCTGAGGCACGCAAGCATGAGATTCCTGGCTCTGCTCTTCCTGGCAGCTCTGGTGTGGGCTCTCGTCTGTGCCGGTGAGGATGACCTTCCCCTGAGCTCATCCGCATAGTCCTTCTGCCTCCTGGCCTAGCCCCGAAAGTCCGGCCCCTGCCTTCATTCCTCTCTCCCCTCCTCAACAGACACAATTCTTTCAATGGTATCTGTGGCCCACTCCGGTCTCCCACTGGACTCAGACCCTCTCCCCACTGCTCAGAAGGAGCCAGGAGCCCTGACTGGCTCCAGCCTCGCTCCATTGTCCCATTTCCTCCCTGTCTCTGGTTTGCCCACTCTGCTTCAGGCACTCTGGCCTCTTCTTCCCGTGCATGAGACAAGAAATTTCCCACTGCTAAGATTTTTGCACATCCTCCCTCCCACTCCCCACCCCCATTCCTTCACCTACCTGGTCAAAAATCCTCCTGTCCAATGTTCACATTTGTCCCTTTATCACTATGCCCATGTATTTCCTCACTGTAGCCTAACAATAGCCTAGAATAGTTAAGGTTCTTATTTTTTATTGTATTGCCTCCTGTATTTTTCCTTCCTAGCGCTGTCACAAATATAATTCAATAATTACTAAATAAGTATGTTAATTCTGCCAAATCTCCCATTGGCTATTAACTTCCCCAGGCAAAGACTGTCTCCCTTACAGCTACATTCCTAGTTCCGCAAATCCTCCTGGGACCTTATACTGTTCAAATAACTGAAGTGGAGGACTGGAGTCTTCTTCCCAAGTGCAGGGCAGAACCAGTTCTGCCCCATCACCACCACCTTCAGTCTTAAAACTTAGACCTCTAACAGGTTATAGAAGGTATCAGAGAATTAATCCATTTTCATGGGGATGTTTTGAGTAGTCAAGGTCTGCAAAGGATAAGAGAGAGGGATTTGGTTTAGATAGCAAAAGCATTTCTGGTAGACGCCTTCGTAGCAGAGATTGTTCTCCCATCTGTCCATTGCTGTGTCCTGAGATTAGTGATCTTGAGACTCTACACAACTCCATCTGCATACAGCTTAGCCACTGCACCCTCCCTGATATGGTCAGTGCCCTGTCTTCGCAGGTGACCCAGACACTGCCTCGACCCCAGGATCGGTGAATGGTGAGTCCTTCTCCCTTCCACCCTAGTCTTGGGTAGAAAGGTTAATGACTGAGCATGAAAGAAATCAGAGAAGTATAAGGATACAGTGGGGGGCTGCTGATGTATCTCAGTGGCATAAGCACCTGCCTGGCAAGCCTGAGGTCATGAGTATGATTCCTGGTACCAAAAAAAAAAAAAAAAAGGATCCAGTGGGAAGATCCAGTGGGGAGGATGAAAGAAGGGACTTGGGGGACTCTATTTAAAGTGATGTAATCTTTCTGCCAAAATGATTCTCTTTTTCCTTAAATCACAATCCACTCTGGAAAAGGCCCTGAAAAACCAGGAAAAAGTCTTTGAAAGAATAAGAGGCTTGGAGGATGCTACAACCCTAGCACTTGATAGAAGTCAAGCTCTAATAGAAGTGGGTGAGGGTGTGGCCTGAAGCCAGACCACATGCTCCCGGAGGAGAAGAAGGCTTCCTTCACTTTCTCACCGTCTTGCAGAACCCCACAAGACATTAGTTGCCAAAAAGGAAAATGCGGAAAACCCAGGCTTAACCAGTAAGACACCAAAGCCATCAAGGAACCGGAGATCCGGCCCTCTGGGTAAGTCTTTGTCAATAGCAGGGTCTTTCTTAGCTGGGCATAGCATCACTGCCTATAATCCCAGCACTCGGCAGAAGGATCACTATGAGTTCAAGGCCAGCCTGGGCTACACAGTGAGTTCAAGGACAGCCTGAACTACACAGCAAGACCCTGTCTCCAAAACAAAACGACAACAACAAAGATAGCAGGCTTTTGAACTGTAATGTGTAAAGACCAGGATCCCTGGGGTCAGCTGGATGAGACACAGCCAAACCCAGACTCCTAAAGGGAATGGGGGAAGTTGTATAGTTGTGCTTCTACATACAGAATTTCTGGGGTAGTAGCTATGTGTACTGGCCTACCAACCTTCCCATGAGAAAGCAATTGGTTCCCTCAGCAAAGGGGTGCTCGTGGTGCCCCTAACTGGAGGTAGCTTTCATACAATGAAGCAGCTGTTCTATTGATGTGACCTCTTCCCTGAATTAGAAACCATCCTAGAAAAAGGCCAAGAGGGACTGGAAATGATTAAGGAGATCAAAGACTCAGTAATGCAAAAAATTGAAGCTCTAAAACGCAAGGGTGAAGGTAAGTGAGCCCCCAGGTGAGGTCTGTGAGCCCCAGTATAAGGACCAGCCTCCTTCTCCAACCTCACCCCTTGGTGTGTCTCTGATTTCTCATTTAGACTCAAATTCCCATTGTTGTTTGATACAGGTTCCCCCTGGGGTCTAACCTCCATCCCACTGGAAAACCTGCTTGTTTCTATTCCTCTTGCCCCAGCCCCCAAGGTCCTTCAGCCTCTGGTGAATCAGACCTCCCCATCCCAGCTTCTGTGTAGCCACAGTGGCTCATGGGCTTTGGAGGCCAGAGATGGCATTGGAGAAGAGCAGAAGGGTGGGGCTGGTGCCCGGGTCCCTGAAAGCCTTATTTATAGTTTCTTCCTTCCTCCTTTTCTTCCCCAACTCCTCTCTTCTTTCTTTCTCTTTCCTTCTCTCCTCTCATCTCTTTCCCTTGTTTTTTCTACATCTGCCCTAGATACTATCCATGACATTAAGGATAAACTTGAATCAGGATTAAAGATGTAAGACGAAGCTAAGAAATGATGCTTAGCAGCACCAGGCTTGAAGTCTACAACATGCAACCAAAACAAAACAAGAAGATTAGCCATTAAACTGAAAGCATCAAACTTGGAGTGTGTATGTGTTGGTGGTAGGGTCGAAGCCTGGTCAGGATGCTAAAGGAAGAACAATCTTCCCAGGAGGACTCCATAAGCAGCCCAGCACTTTCCTCTGAACCTCAGGTTCCAAAGTCAGTCTTCCCAGAAAGCACAGGCTATAGGAAGTTCCTTGATGCCTATCTATGCCCTCGCCCATGTTTGCAGGAGCTGAGCCTTAATCCCTAAGCTGGTCACCTCCTTACGCCTCACTTCCTCGTCCAGTGCCATGGACGTCATGGTGTTAAGTGAGACTTTCTCATTTTCTTGGTATTGGCTCTAGGACCCACAGCTGGGAATCACAGACCTAAAGTGCCCCCACATTCCTTGGAGAATTTCTGCTATCTGGAGCTTTACCATATCTTGTCCTCAACCTTGGGACTAAGAGCTATGAAAGCCCATCGTTCATTCCCTATACTGAATCTGGGGGATATGGAGTGCTCAAACCAAAGAGATTCTTCCTGACACCCCATGGAAGGTGGAAATATGTTTTTATCACTCCCTGGCCTTTCTCCTAAAGGCGATTGGCATCTCCCTCCCCATGTGGATGTTCACTCTAGGCTGGCTTGGAACTTCCCAGACCGGAACACAGTAAGACAGCTCTCGAGAGACACTGTGTTTCTGTTACCAGATTCTGAGGTGCTAAAGTTTCCTCATAGAGTGCTTTCTAGGTCCTTTCTGTCCCAAAGAATTGATTGAAACAAGCATAAACAGTGGCAAAGGTTCACATTTATTAAAAGTAGGGAAAAAGGCAGAACAGTAGGGAGGAAATGAGTCTGCAGAGTGAGTTTGGGCTCAAAAGGGAGGAAAAAAATAAAAAATAAAAGTACATCCTAGAGCGCAGGTGGGCAATTGTGAAGATGCATGGCCGCGAGCTCTTAATGGCGACTGTCTCTTTTCATATTTCCCATGCTGGTGTCACATCTGGGTCATGCTATCAAAAGCCTGCCTGAGTTCTGAGAGAAGGCCCTAGGCAATGTTCTGTGAATGTGTTACAGAATCTTGTCACACCTCCCTTCCTAGCCAGTTTTAGCCACACCCTAACTTCTTTTCTCACTCTCAGGCATCAGGAGTGCACTAGCCAGGGAAAGCTAAACTTTTGCAAACAATAACCCAAAATATAAGAAGTCAAGCACCATCTCTGGTAGCACCCGAAGTGCATAGCTCCAGATGTGAGAGAGATGGGCAGAAGCCAGTTTTCCACAAGTAGTCACTGAGAAATTTCGGATGACAATGGCTCTGTCATCTTTAATACCTGTCTTCAAGATCATTCTGTCTTGCTTAGCACCACTCCAAGCCCAGATACGGAAATGTGTTAAGTCAGCTTCATATTACTGTAGTGAAATATTGGGATAAGGAGAAATGGTTTATTTTGGCTCATGGTTTTGGAGGTTCCAGCCCAAGATGAAGTGGATCCAATTGCTTTGGGCCTCTGGAAAGGATCTAGGATACCAACAGCAGAGAGCACATAGCAGAGAAAATTTTTCATCTCATGCACCAGGAGGCAAGGAGAGATCAGAAGAGACCTGGATCCCACAATCCTGGGGCACTTAGTTATGGGTCTTTGGGGATAACTTTAACATTTAAACAATAAAAAAGAAGGAACATGGAACAAATTGCTTGGAGACTTGTATAGGCTACATTAGAAAGTGATACGTTATTGGCAAGAACTCTGTCCCACAGCCACACTCAATTGCAAGGGCTCAGGAATGTCTAACAGGAAAATGATCAAAATGAATGTTAATATACCTGCAGCAACTTCCACCACAACAGAACAAAGAAACAGGTGTCTGTTTATTAGCTATCATTGTGAAAGCTAAAAGTTTTCCATGGTATCCCAGGGAAAAGGTAGAAAAGGATACAGTCACCCCAGCCCCCTGAGGTCTCTGAAGGGTAGGAAGAGAACTCAGAATTCTGCATTGCTCCCAAGAACACATTTAGGAGAGAGATCAAGAGCCAAGGAGCTGCACAAGGGGCTTCAGGCCAGATGAGAGAGTTAATGGTGTGGGCAGTAGCAGGACCTAAAATAACTGCCACTCTTGGAGTGGTTGGGGTGGAGCCGAACTTTATCTAAATGGAGATCATCATGCCCTGCATCTGTGGAGGCTTCAGAAAAGTTCTAAAAAAATAAAATAAAATAAAGAAAAGTTCTGCCTGGCCCATCTCACTTCCCTCAAGATCCAGAATCAGACCCTGCCTCCTTTTGTGTCTCTCCAGCAAAGTGTCTGATGGAGAGAAAAAAGAAAATAAGGTTTTCAACCAACCAAAAGAAACTACTGTTCAATATGTCATTACTAAGGAAGAAAGGGAGGTTTGGCAATGCATATTTGGAAATTATATATACACACACACACACACACACACACATACACATACATCCACACACAAGATAGCTGAGATAATTGTACTACTAATTTGTATTGGTTTATTGAAAGGAAAAGTTAATTGTTTGATCAATCTTGCATACCTATATCTGGTAATCTGAGCAACTACTTTGAAGATAACAATAAGTAATACAACAACCATTGCTGATTTCCTATCATATTGTTTTGAAATTCTGTATCTTTTCATAGTTTTTGTGTTGTTTTGTTTTTGTCTTTGTTTTGTTATTTTATTTTTGTTTTTTTCTCTTTAAAATAAAGAAAATTTAATTAAAAACACATAGAATCTGCTCAATATGTCATTATGAAGGGGGAAACAGAAATTTGGCAATACATATTTGGAAGCACTGTTTGAAGAAAAAAAACTCTACCAAGTCCTGACTATTCAAGGAACTATTGTTTCTAAAGATGAACCCACAAGGACCAAACTTGCCATTATGAAGAAAATCAAGGACAGTCATTTCTGAAGGAGTCTTCTGCCACGTTTATTAAAAATTCAGCTTTAATTCTTAAAAGGTTCAAGAAAAGGCAGAGACAATGATAAAGAATAATAAAGCAAGCATGATTAATGTTATTATCTGGGACTTGTAGTCCCCAGTAAACCAAGGAAGAGTACCCATAAACTGAACTATTTTTTTTTTAAATTCCCTGTAAGTCTGAAGTTATTTCAAAATAAAAAGTAGGTAAGGTATATTATAGTTAGCTTCACTTAGTTATTCTACAATGTATACATATTTCAAAACATCAGGGCCAGGTATATAGCTCAATGGCACAGTGCCTTCCGTGGCAAGCACCAGGTCCTGAGTTTGATTCCAGTACCCAAAAAAAAAAAATCATTTGTGCACAATAAAAATACTTTTGTCAGTTCAAATCATTCTGAAATAATAAATAAAAAATAAAATACTACAAATAAAATGTATAAAAGTAATAGGGAAATCCACATGAAAATATTTCCAGCTCCTGTTGAAGAATGAGAGTGTCAGGCACTAATCAACTGGGGGCAGGTGGGGCTGAACACTTTCGATGGAGCAGGCATATTGCAGTATCCCCCAGCTCTTCCACCTCCTCCTGACTCCCTGGCCCTGAAGTGGAAGGACATTGTTATTCACCATTGCACACTCGCTGCTGTTTCCCTTACACCTGGACTGCCTGGCTCACTTCTGTTACCTACTGGACTCCTGCAAGCAAGGAAATCTGTAGCCTCTAACTCTGGCTTTTCACTCCAAGTTCCTATCTGGACATTGCCAAGTAAGATAGTTGGAATATGTGGGAGCCATAAGAAATCTTTCTATTTAGATCACAGAAATGAGGAGGGCTGGCTCTGTTCTTCCTTGTAGACTTATTCTGCGGTTCTCTGGAGCTCAGCGCTTCACCTGTGAAACCAGGAATGTGGAAAGGGTCCTTTGCATTAAGGTCTAGAGAAAGCTCTCTGAAGCTACACATAATGTATCATTTTTCTCTCTAGGTTCCCCTTGGTATCCACTTGAAGGGTGCTGTCATGATTGTTTGAGCTAACTTCTCTGGGCCACAATGCCCAAAGGTGGTCCAACATTTCTGGATGTTTCTGCGAGATGTTTTGAATGCAATTAACATGAGATTGGTGGACTGTGTGGAAAACAGTCATAATATGGGTGGGCTTCCCTAACCAGTTGAAACCCTAAATAGAATAAAAGATTAACACTCCCAGCCAAAAGGGAACTCTGCCAGCAGATTGTCCCTGGACTTGAACTGCAGGCTTTCTTCCTGCTAGCCTCCATACTCACAGAAGCCAATTTCTTAAAACACAAATACACACACACACATCCAACTTGTTCTATTTCCCAGGAGAACCCAGACTAATAAAGGTATTGATTAGTTAAAATGAGAGAAACTTCATGTCACAAAGACCTGATGCTTGTTATAAAGTGGAATTTACCATTCTGTCAGGGAGCTGTGTTTAACAGCAGACAGTGGAGTTGTGTTTGAAATCCAACTCAGTCATCCAGCTCACACAACACTGGCCCAGTTGTGTCATTAGGGGCCAGTTTCTTAACTGCCCTTGTCTTATTTTCTTCATCTGCTTGGTATGTACAACAAGCTGTATGTCTGTGTCTTCCCAACTGCCCCATTGATGAAGGTGGAAGATCAAGGGCATCAGGGGAGAGTGGCCGGTGTGTGCATGTTCACCAAAGCTCTGCAGAGGAGACCACCACAGCACCTGCCACAGTAGCTTACTGTCAGAGATGCAACAGACATCTGGGTCCTGAAAATATGCACTATTCACCCCAAAAAGTTAGAGTCACATGCAACCTTTGGAGCCTGCCACCCCTCTGGCACATCAGAATGCAGTACAACACACAGAGAGGGGAACTAGGAAGACATGCTGCACAAGTCAGGTGGAGGGAAGTGCACTGATCCGGGTTTTGGCAGAAAACAGATGGCACACTCTGAAGAACTTTTTGAAGAGACTCTTTAAAAAAGTAGAGAGATGCAAGTAAGGATTTGCAACAAAGGGGAGCCATTACCATCCTTAAAACTGAACCAGCAGGTGGAGGAAACAGTGTTACCTGAGAGCAGTTGAGAGGTGAAGTACTGGAAGAGGGGCCACCAGGCACAGATCATAGTCAACACACCCATTGCCACACCATGCTGTAGTCATTGTGGCTGCAAAATAAGTTATTACAAAACTTGGTCAATCCAATAACATCATTTCTTACCTCACAGTTGCTGTGGGCCAGGAGGCAAGGTCCCCTGACTGAGGGTCTCTGACAAGGCTGCAATCTGCAGTCGAGGCATTTGCTAGAAAGGAGTCAGAGCCAGGCATGGAGGTGCATGCCTGGAATCCCAGCACTTTCGGAGGCTGAGGCAGAAGGACTGCAAGTTTAAGCCCAGCCTAAGCAACTTAATAACTTAGTGAAATCCCATCTCTAAATAAAAAAGAACTGGGGGTGTGACACAGTGTGATAGACCTAGGCTCAATCCACAGTACCACAGTGAAGGAGGAGGAGGAGGAAGAGGAGGAAGAGGAGCAGAAGGAGGAAAAAGAGGAGGAAGAGGAGGAGGAGGACAGAAGAATCAGTAGGTTCAACCTATGCTCAGAGAGGACTATACAAGGGCATGAATACACAAAGTGGGCATCACTGGGAACCAGTGGGAGCCATCTTGGACGTCAATCCACCACGCACACAAAACAGGGAGGGAACAGAAATAACAAATGCCTGGGTCTAACTCTCTACCCTTTCATCTCCCACAAGTTCTCTCATTAACCAAACTCATCTAAGAAACCAGAGGCCAAGGGGACCCAGGTGAGGCATCCCTCAAAGGTCATCATCCTTCCAAACCAATAAAGAGATGGCCAGATGTGAGGGAGGTTTTACAATGGACAGAGAACAAGTAGCACATGAGAAAAAATATATCAGCACACAGATAGCCATCCTGGAGTTCAGATACCCTAGAAGACATCACACAGGATGGCCCCCCTCAACCACATACACACTGGGTGTCCCTTTTCTTCAATATTCATATGCAATTCCTTCCCAGGCCCTACAATCTATAGTTAACATTGCACCTGGACCTTGTTATAAAGTAATGAATTTTTTATATAAAATAAATGTGTGGTGGTGCATGCCTGTAATCCCAGCACTCAGAAACCCTGAACATCTTCAAGAACCCTGGTGAGCCACCTCACACCTCCCTTACCAGTGTGCAAGGCAGGAGGAGCACCACACACCTTCT